AATCTAACAAAATTTGTAATGCAGATTGCCAATCAGCAGGACTCTCAAGAACAAATATTGAATCAATTTTTACTTGAAGATTTTTATCTGATAAAATTTGATCTCTTAATTTTTTGACTTCTAAATTTTGTTTATATTTAGAAGGCAATAAGAATTTAACTTTTTCACAATAATCATCAAAATAAATTATTTTAATAAATCCATAATTCTTCATTATTTCTTCTCCAAATCGTTTATTTCTACATAAATACATGCACATTTTTTCCTTATACATGTTACTAATTAATTTCCAAGGTGTATGAGATAAAATAAAATTTTCTTCACTAATTTTATTTTTTAACACTGAAAATATTTTTTGTAATTTTTCTGATTTTAAATGTTCCAAAATACCACCTCCATTTGTCAAAAATAAAAAAGGAATATTATAGATGCTTTGTAATGTAACTAATTTTTCTAGTGCTTGATTTGCCACAGGCACTATAGGATTATCATCATGAACAAGAACACCATCAACATCGAAACAAATTGCAAACGAAGGAAAAATATCAAAATTCGTTTTAATTTGCGTTTGCGTCACAGAAGCCACTATGTGAGATTAAATTATGTTTTTAAATGATTAAATGAAAAAATAAACGACTTTTGATCATTTACTATAGTATACGTCGACGTACGTCTAAGCGTGTTTTTTTTCGTGCAAGTATAACAGAAAAGAAGTATGAGAATGTTTTACAAATATGACTACTAAAAATAACATAAGACAGGCAGAGAGAGAGAAAATATTATTCATTTTTTGTTTCTTCTCTTCTTCATGCTTTCTGTTACAGGCATCATAAAAAAAAGATTCTCGCATGTGCCGTAAACTTGGAAGAATAGAATGTGTGATTAATAAGAATACATAGATGTTTGATGAAAACGAAAGTGACACGGTGCTCACTTCTTGTTTAAAAATTTGATAGACGTGTCGTTTTGTAGTGTTCAAAATCACTCTAGCTCTGATTTTTATTTAATCTTCGTTGCGCTATAATCGAAATATCAGTATCTTCAAAAAAAGTAATGGATTTTGGTCTATACTTTTTTTACTATTTTGGTCTACTGCCTTTCGATTATAACGCAAAGAAGACGGTGAAGCTCTCCATGATCCTTCAAAAATGATCTAATGCATGTGTCGTAACATACAATATATACTGCTTCACATTTCAATGCGATACATTTACTAGATAAGGAACGCTTCGGATGCATATTGTATTTTACGACATATGCGTTACATCATTTTTGAAAGATCATGTAGAGCTTGCTCATGCAAACTAAAGAAAGATCAAGAAGTGCAAGAAGCTCCACTGTTGTTTGTACCGGTGAAATGTAACATTTAAAATGCGTTTAGCAGCATTTTTGACAGCGAACACAGCGTAGGGGATGTTAGCAACAGATTCAATTATTTTCGCCTAATGTTTGACAGGTAACTGAGTCAAACTCAGTTTTGCAATGTCTTATATATTCCATTATCTGAAAGACAAAAAGTGTTCTCTTAAACGCCAATTTGTTATTGTTTTGGGTCGTCTGAATGCGAAATTTTCACATAGAATTCGCTCTCATGGATGGATACATACTTTTTGTGCTTAGAGGAGGTGAGCGGCGGTGTTAAAATGACGGAAGTCGACTCTACAGGAGAACAGAATCATCCACTAGACATGAACGACAAATGTTTTTTGTATTTTTCGAATTTCGTCATGGTAGATG